TGTGGCTCCGCGGTGTGTGTGTGTGTGTGTGTGTGTGTGTGTGATTTCTTGCTTTCTGTCTCTCTCGGTCTGTCTGGCGAGCGCACACACCCTATAGCAAAAACCTCTCCCCCAAAAAAGAAAGAAACTATCCAAAATGTTCAGACTTTTCTTTCTATGAAATGTAATAAATAGCAGTGAATTCTTTAAAAATTTACTAGTGATAAGGTATTTGGAGAGGTTTTTTTTTTCTTTTTAACATATGGGCATCTTAAAATTTACGGTTATGAATTTTAAAATGTTGAGTTGTCTTTTTTGTGTTCATTATACATTATACATGGAAAATTAGAGGGGCTGGCAAGTGGCGTGGTGGTTAAAGGTGCTGGACTCCCACATGGCTGACCACAGTTTGAGTCCTGGACCTGGTGGTTTGCTTTCTCACTTTCTCCCTCTCTCTCTCTGTCCTTCTGTGGTCAGATTAAAAAATAAATAAGTAAAGTTAAATAAAATAAGATTTCACTGAAGTTGGAGTTTTGCCAGAATAGTATGAAGAAGCAGAAGATAAGGAAGTTGATAGTATATGCAAGGAATTATAACAAAAGACCTTAAAATATAAATTGATTAAACAAAAAGACATTAGTGAGGGACTAGCAGATGGCATAATGGTTACGTTGCTGGACTGCTACATAGTCAACTGTGACTCGAGTCCTAGACCAGGCGGCTTAAAACTCACATGAGGTCCGTGTGCTTGTGTGCCCAAAATCCCAAGAGGAGAATGGAGGAGAAGGGATTGTGGCATGGTATCCCCCCAGAAGGTAGTTTCTTGCTTTCTATCTCTGGCCAGCATACATACCATATAGAAAAATCTCTTAAAAAAATAAATGAGCCAGCAGGTAGTATAGTGGTTAAGGGTGCTGGACTCCCACATGGCCAACTATGGTTTGAGTCCTGGACCTGATGGCTTGCTTGCTTTTTTTTTTTTTTTGAGAGGTTTTTGCCATAGGGCATGTGCGCTCGCCAGAGAGATAGAGAGAGACAGAGAGACAGAAAGCGAGAAATCACCCCCTAGGGGGATGGTTCCCTGTGGTCAAATTAAAAATAAATATATAAAGTTAAATGATTATTTTTAAAATAAAAAATAACAGGTTGAGAGACAAAGTAATAGGAACCAATTGTAGGTCTTTGTGGGGTCAGAATTTGTTGGATTGGGGTGCTAGAGAGAAATGATATGAAAGAGTGGGATGATTTAAACATTATACTGAGATAGGGATATTGATAACAGGGTCTCAAGTGTGATACTGGTAGTAAGTGGCTGAAGTAGGGTTTTGATAAGGGTTATAATAAATAATAACTGTCCTTTATTAACTCACATCTGTTTTTGCCTTAGGACTTTGTTGTTACTCTCGTTGCCACTTTTTTATGGTTGGTGAGCACTTCAGCCTGGGCCAAAGCACTTACAGATATAAAAATAGCTACTGGTCACAATATTGTTCAGGAACTTCAGCCTTGTATGGAGCTGGAAGTGCAATGTTATTACGGCTCGGTGACTAGTATGGGATCCCTAAATGTGTCTGTGGTAGGTATACATTATTTATAAAATTTTTATTTTCCTTGTTAGAAAAACCTTTTAATAGAATTAGAATCTTAAGAAAGTAATAGCTTTTGGAGCCAGAAAACAGGATAGCATCATTGGACTCCTGCGTGGCCTATGGTTCAAGTCCCAGACCTGGTAGCTTGAAAATCGTGCCATGTGCGTGTGTGCCTAAGATCCTGGGAGAAGAGTAGAGAAGGGATTGTGGCGTTAGCCATCCCTCCGGAGGGGTGATTTCTCACTTTCCCTCTCACTGTTTCTATCTCCCTCTGGTGAGCACACATGCCCTAAGGCAAAAACCTCTTTAAAAAAATGAATATTTTTTTCAATATTCAATAAATCTCTGAATAAAAATATTGGTTTTTATTTTTACTAAGTTATTAGACTCCTAGTTTTATCAATAATTTAATGTTTACCTTTATAACAGTGAAGAAAATTTGTTAAATTATTAGCTATAAGCAAAATCATGATTGAGTCTTACATTTTATGAAAATCACTAAGGCAGGACTTCTACCTGAAACATTCTAATAACAGTCACTAACAACTGTTGAAACTATGTGCCTGGTAATGTGCTAAGGGCTTTACACTTACATCTCGGTCAAGTTCTCCTGTTCTGGTTCTCTCTCCAACATAGGAGGTATGTGGAAAGTGGCATTATCAACTTCAAATAATTATTTTATTTATTAATATTATTGTTTCTTTATTTATGTATATATTTTAATTTGACCAGAGAGAGGGAAAGTGGGAAAGCAAGCTGCTAGGTCCGAGACTTGAACCGAAGTCGGTCATGTGGGAATCCAGCATCTTAACCAGCATGTCACCTGACAGCCCCTCTCATCTTCATTTTTCATATGTAGCTCATATTTTTATTTGCCCAAGCAAGGTAGCACGACTAGGAAGTGGCAAGCAAGGTTTGAGCCAGATCTGACTTTAGCACCCACTCTTAAAATCTAACTTTTTTATTCCACTTTGTATGTAGTGTTAGACTTTCAGTGACATGATGGTATATTATCTGAAAATGTTAAATATTTAAAAGGAAACAGATTTTAAGAAGGACATGAATTTTTAAGTAGATATTAGATTTTCATATTTACTTTTCTGTTTCATAGATCTTTGGCTTTCTGAATATGATACTTTGGGGAGGAAATGCTTGGTTTGTGTATAAGGAGACCAGCTTACACAGTCCATCAAATACTTCTACTTCCCATGGCCAAGGAGGTATTCCACCTCCTACTGGAATATAAGTAAAGGAAGAAATACACTGTATGAAATATGTTTATATTCTGGCTTGTTGCCAACATCTTGAGAAGCATTATTTGTTTCTAATAAAAGTAATGGCTTTTTCAATAAATTGGTGGGTTTAAAATTTTGCTGCTTTTTTACGTAAAGCCTGTGCCTTTCCTAGAAATTCAAGATGTAAATGTATTCTCACATGTAAATTTGAAAGTTCAGGGGCCTATTATGATATGATACAGTTTTAAGTAAACAGTAATTTTTTGTTGTTTGCCTTCTAAAATGTTTACACCTTAAGCCTTAACATATATCTTCACTCAGAAAATGGTTATATCACGATAGGAAAAAATCTTTATTTGGAATATACACTACTGTAAGTTTGTACAGATCATATACCTAAGTCCTATCTTTGTATAAGAAAGCCTTGATTACATGAATCATATTTAGAAAAACCATATTTAGTTCAAAATTTATATCTGAACGTTCATGTTACGAAAATTTTTTAATTGCAAAGACTAGGTATATTTTATTTCTGTTTTTCTAAATGACTTGCTGTACTTAATAGGTGTACTAAAATTGTGTTGGGAGCAGGGATTTTGAATTTTGTAATAGACGTCTACTTAGTTATTCTTTTTTGCGTGGATGTAAGCTTCCATTATGCTGGTGGTTTAATAGGCTTGCTATGTAAGAAGAAAGAACATGGTTCAACTAGACTTTTTATATGTACGGGCATTACGCTTAGTGATACTTGTTTGCTATCCTTTGTTGCTCACACTGTCTAAGTGCAGGCTGAGACCTAGTCTCTTTGTAGTAGAGTAAAATAATTCATCTTTTTCTGGATCCTATTCTGAAAATAAGAATTGTCTTTTACTTTTGAAACATTTACATTTAGAGTCAATGAAGTTGCTGTTTTGAGCTTAGCATTGATATTGTGAAAACAAATGCAATTTGGATTTCATGTTTCTTAATGTTCATTCTTTACAAGTAGATGATTAAGAAATTATGCATCATAAAGAACTTAAGTGAGCTATATTATGAGTGCACTGTCTTTGCACACACATTTGGGTATATTCCGAACACAGGGCTTATTCACATTTTGCTTTCTAATTTTTGTTGTACAGGGATCCAGATATCCTATTCTTACAACACAATTGTTTATATGTGAAGCACATTTTATTATTGCCTTATTTTTGTTGCTTTTATTCATGACAAGAATTGTCAGTATCAGAATGTATATCTTTCATGCAACCAATTAATAAAGAAGTTGAAAGAAAAAGTGCACTGTTATATTATGAAGAAGCCTTTTTTTTAAGAATAATTTTATTTAACTTTATTTATTTATTATTATTATTTTTAATTTAACCAGAGAGACCAGCAGTTGGCGTGATAGCTATGTTACTGAACTCCCATGTAGTCGATCGTGGTTTGAGTCCCGGACCCAGCGGCTTAAACTTATACTGGGTGTGTGTTCGTGCATGCCCAAGATCCTAAGAGGAAAAGGGATTGCGGTGTGGCCACTCCCCCTGGGAGGGTGATTTTTTTGCTTTCTGTCTCTCTGTCTCTTTCTGGCGAGTGCATGCACCCTATAGCAAAAATCTTTCAAAAAATTTTTTTTAATTTTAACCAGAGAGAGAGGGAAAGCAAGCCACCAGGTATGGGACTCGAACTGCAGTCAACTATGTGGGAGTCCAGCACCTCTAACCACTGTACCACCTGCTGGACTCAATGAAGAAGCCTTCTTAAATGCATAGCAATGCAAAATAAAATTGATTTTCAGAGCAGTATATAAGATCACAATAGTTTTTTAAATGTTTAACATGGAATACAATAGACAAAAATGCTTTGGAGACTGGTTCTGTCCTTTTTTTCTTTCAATCTCATTTTTAAAATATTAATAATTGTAACTTTCAGGTTAAGTTTTTCTAGTAAACCTTTTCTAATAGACTGTTCAATTAGGCAGCAAAGTTTTGTAATTAAGAGTGTATGTTCTGGGACCAACAGGTGGCATAATGGTTTAATTGCTGGACTCCCACCTAATTAACCGTAGTTCAAGTCCCAGACCTGGTGGCTTACAGCTCATACTGGAGTGTGCACAAAATCCAGATAAGAGTGCAGGTGAAGGAATTGTAGTGTGGCCATCCCCTCTCAGGAGGGGGGGTTTCTTGCTTTCTGTCTCTGTCTCTCTCTGTCTCTCCAGTAAGCACACACACCCTATAGCAAAAATCTCTTTCAAAAACAAAACAAAAAAAGAGTGTATGTCCTTGGGACCAGCAGGGGAACCATCAGGTGGCATAGTGGTTAAGGCACTGGATTTCCACATGGTCAACTATGGCTCAAGTCCCAGACCTGGAGGCTCGCGTTCTCGCTCTCTCTCGCTCTCCCTCTTGACTGCACATGCTCTATAGCAAAATTTCTAAATAATATTAAATAAATAATTCTTCTAAAAAAAAAAAAGAAAATGTGCTCCTGAGTCAAACTGCTTGGATTTGAGTCTTCATTACATACCAACTAGTTAACTTCAGGCAAATTACCTTTGCCTCATTTTTATCTGAAAAATGGAAATAATAGATACTAACCTCAAAGTGTTTATGAAGATAAAGTGAATTAATAAATTTAAAGTATTAACCCAGTGTTCAGCATCTAGTCAGCACTCTGAATGTCAGTTGTGATTATTAACTTTTGACAACATTTCATGTAGTTTTTTTTCCCACATAGTTTTTGTTTTTTAAAAAAATTATTTTATTATTACTTTATTCAACTTTTTATTTATTTATTTATTTATGCATGCGTGTGGATGCATGCCCAGGATCCCAAGAGGAGAGGGACAGAAAGAGAAAGAAGGAGAGGAGTGAGAAGGCAAGCTGCCAGGTCCTGGACCCGAATCACAGTTGGCCATGTGGGAGTCCAGCACCCTTAACCACCACGCCATCTGCTGGCCCCTCCACATAGAGTTTTAAACTGGAATTCAAAGTCTGGTGGAAAAAGGTAAATAGAGCTGGTTTTGAGCAGAGAGGCAACTTCAGGCTTATAAGTTTGAGTCCTAGATGTTTTGGTGTGTTTATTTTTCTTTTGATGGTAGATATTTATAAATTAATGAGATTAAAACTTACTAGACTGGGCCTGCAGGTGGCGTGGTGGTTAAGGTACTGCACACTCTTCCATGGCCGACCGTGGTTAGAGTCCCGGACCTGGCGACTTGCTTTCTCACTTTCCTTCTCCCTCTGTCTTTTTCTGGTCAAATTAAAAAATAAGTCAGTGATGGGACCAGCAGTTAGCATAATGGCTATGTCGCTGAACTCCCATGTAGCCAACTGCAGTTCGAGTCCCAGACCCAGTGGCTTAAATTCATGCCGGGTACATGTGCATGCATGCCCAGGATCCCAAGAGGATAATGGCGGAGAAGGGATCGCAGCATAGCCATCCCCCTGGGTGGTGATTTCTCGCTTTCTGTGTCTCTGTCTCTGTCTGGCGAGCCACACGCCCTATAGCAAAAACCTCTCCCAAAAAAAATAAAAAGAAGGAAAGAAACATATTAGGCAAAACAAGCTCACCTGCTTAGGTTTGCTCAGCTTCTTAAATCTGTAGGTTTATGTATTTTGTCAGATTTGGGGAGTTTTCAGTCACTTATACCAGTACCTTTTCAGTGCCACCCCCTTTTTTTTCCCCCAGTTTTTCCTATAGGGTGCATGTGCTCTCCTATAGGAAGAGAAACAGGGAGAGAGAAAATGAGAAATCACCTTCCAGTAGGTATAGCCACACCATAGTACCCTCTCCATTTTCCTTTTGGGATTTTGGACATAACATGCATACGCACCCAGCATATTTCTCAAGGTTCTGTATCTGGGACTCAAACCGCTCAGCTTGCCATGTGAGATCCAGCTGCCTTAACCACCAGTCGACCATATAGTCCGCTCCTTTTCTATGACTTTTTTTTTTTTTAAAGAGATTTTTGCTATAGAGCATGCTCTCACCAGAGAGAGACAGAAATGAGAAATCATGCCCTGGGTAGAATGGCCATGCTGCAATCCCTTCTCCATTCTCTTGGGATCTTGGGCACACAAGCACACGCATCTGGTGTGAATTTTTTTTTTTTTTGAGAGGTTTTTGTTATAGGGCATGTGCGCTCACCAGAAAGACAGAAGCAGAAAGCAAAAAATCATTCCCCAGGGGGGATGGCCATGCCGCAATCCCTTCTCCTCCATTCCCCTCTTGGGATCTTGGGCACTCATCCACGTGTGCGTGGCATGAGTTTAAGCCACCAGGTCTGAGACTTGAACCGCAGTCGACTACATGGGAGTCCAGCGACATAGCCATTACGCCAACTGCTGGTCCCTCTGGTGTGAATTTTAAGTTACCAGGTCTAGGACCGTGGTTAGCTACATGGGAGTCCAGTGACGTAACCACTACACCATCTGCTGGTCCCTGAACATTAGGCTTTTTGATACAGGGTCACAGGTCTCTGGGATTTGTCCTTTTGTTTTAAAATTTTGTTTTGCTTAAAGAATTTATTTATTTATTTTTTTAACTTGCTATAGTCATCAGAGAAAGTGAGAAAGCAAGCTGCCAGCTCTGGGACTCAAACCAGTTTGCCATATGGAAATCCAGCACTCCAACCACCACGTTACCTGCTGGCCCGAATTTGTTTATTTATTTATTTCTTCCATGTTAGGGTAAGAGAACTAAACAGGGACCCTCAACAGGGTCTTCATTCCAGAATCCATCTCCAGCCTCAGCCAGCCCAGATTACAGGCACATGTACACACCCTGTATATATAGGTAGAACCCAGGAAACAAATCCAAGACTTTCTTTATTGCAAAATGTTGCATTTCTGCTGGGAATGGGACTTGAACGATACAGTTGGTCATGTGGGGTCCAGCCACCCTAACTACCACACCACCACTTGGTCCCAGGTAAGTGATTTTTATTGAATTGGAATGTCTAATGTATTATGAGAGAGGATTTTTTTTTTCTTTTTGCCTTTTAAAAAAATACTTAACTTTATTTGTTACTATTTATTTTGACAGAAAGAAAGTGAGAGAAGCTGTCAGGTCCAAGACTTGAACCTTGGTCATGTGGGAATCCAGCACTTTAACCACCATGCTTGCCACCTGCCGGCCCAAAGATTGGATCTTCTAAAGATACCACTACAACAGAGCAGGAGCGGTCTGCCTCCTCACAGCCTGCAGGAGTAGAAGTGTTGGCTATTCCTTCCAGCTTTGTGGGTATGAATGGAGGCCCAGTTTTTCCCTGTGGTGTTTTACTGGAGTAGAGCAGTTATTGTCTCATGTTTCTTGTCTGGCTAGGCTGTGTCTTTCCTTGTTCTTTGCCTAGAGAACCAACTTTTGTTGGTTTTTGTTTGTTTGTTTTTCCGTCTGCCTCTATTGCAGTTTCTGGGTTGCCAATTCCTTCAGCTCCAAGTATGAGATAATGAGGCAAAAAGTAAACACCAGTAACACATCATTGTATTCATAGGTTGCAGTCTTCCTTCATCTCTCCACCTTTCAGACTTCATTTGTTTGTTCTATACATAATGTCCCATGTCTTTTGTTGGACTTAGTGGGAAAAATAAAAGCACATCTATTCCAGTTTTGAGGAAGTAAAAGTCCTCCCTTTTATTTTTTTAATTGTCAGACTATACGTTGAGCCAGTGAGATGGAGAAAGGGCCTAGAGAAAATGTACTGTCATCTGTCTCGGCTATTGTTTTTCTCTTGCTTAGTGCAATGATCAGAGGTACTAGAATAATCATCGTATCAAAATGTGGAATTAATTTTGTCACACATTTTCCATTTTCCAGGAACTCGAATCAAAATAGCGTATAATTTCATTTTAAATCAGAGCTTATATTCATGCTCCTGATTTTATTCATGACCTGAGAGGAGATAAGTGGGAAATTTAAAAATTAGAGACACAACTCACTATAAATAGGATCTAAAGTGTAAGGTTTAAGAGTGGGTATAAAATCTGTAATAGTTGCAAAGAAAGTGCATCTGGACTTCCCCACACTGTATCATGTTGCTTTTTTTTTTAAAAGAATACTTAATTTTGTTATTATTTTTTTAACTTGACCAGAGAGAGAAAGGGACAGTGAGAAAGTAAGCCACCAAAGGGGCCAGCAGGTGGTGTTATGCTTAAGGGCACTAGATTCCCACATGGCCAACCTCTGTTCGAGTCCAGACCTGGCAGCTTGCTTTCTCGTGTTGCCTTCTCTCTCTCCCCCCTGCCCCCCCACTGGTCAAATTAAAAAATAATGATAACAAATGGAATTAAATAAAT